TGTGTGTTGCATCCTAGAGACTCGCATACAAGATTCCAGCTCCACAATCCGATTGACCACCCACCCACCCCCATCAAACCCATCAATCAAGTTTCACTCACGTCTCTCTGGGGACCCTGAGGCTGCGACTTCCGGTCTTGCTGGCGTTGGTTTGGCTCTCAGTGAGAGAGCTGAAACTGCGCTCCTGAACTGATCCCCAGTCGACAGTAGGTTGTGTGCAGTGAGGTTCGTGCAAAGTAAGCAGCCATCATCCCCGATAAACGAAACCTGTTTGTCGTGTCGGCGTACGCCCCAACGAACTGAAGCCCAGATGCAGTCAAAGATGAATTTTATCATAACCTACACGACCTCTTGCTTAGACCGAGTAGGGATGATATCGTGATTTTAGCAGGAGATATGAATGCTAGAGTAGGTCGGCTGATTTCGAGTGAGGCGCATCTGGGAGGTCCTTTCGAACTAGACTCCTGTCGCTCGGAAAACGGGGAACGGCTGCTGGCTCTGTGTTCCGACCACCGCCTATTCCTCGCCATTACGAACTTCAGGCGCTCCAACTGCCGATACGCCACCTGGCGTCTGCCCTCTTCGAGTCATAGACGGACGCAGGTCGACCACATCGGCATAAGCCACAAATGGCGAGGTTGTATACAAGACTTCCGATCGTACTGGAGCACTCCCCTCGAATCCGATCACGCATAAATTTGTCCCAAGCTGTCCATGTGCTTCGGTGGGTGTTCCAAACACTGGACACATCGACGGTCAGACTATGATAAGCTGCCTGAACCAGCACGCCTGTCTTTCAGGACACGATAGCTGATAAACTAGAACCAACCCTACCCGGTGACGTTAACCAGCACTGGTTGCTTATCAAGAATGCTATGCATTCTGCTGGCGTAGTTGTGGTCTGATACGCCGTGCCGCGACACCCTGGATTTCTGCGGAATCTCTACGCCTTCTCGACGAACGCCGATCAATTCCGATCGGCAGCGAGCATAATGAAATACGGCTCGTAACGAGTTGTAACCTCAACGCAAGCGTACGCAGAGACTGCGAGATTTGGTGGACTCAACGCGCGTCGAAGATGAAACGTGGTGCCGCCATGGCAAACTCCCGTAAGCTGTTCCATCTCATCCGGGTCACCGGTAGGAAAGCCTTGGGTGTGAACGAAACGACATGCGAAGCTGACGAATCGCCCGGTCAAAATCAACAGCGACTTCTTGAACGCTGGGCGGGACACTTCAAGGCACAGTTTAGCTGGCCACCAACGTCAGCTTTTCACACAGCTATTCTGGCACACGTCCCATGGTCTGTTTCAACAGACCCACCTTCTGAAGCGGAAATCCGTAAGGAGATCCAAGTCTTGGGATGTCACAAAGCGCCGGGCTCCGATGGCTTTCCCCCAGCTCTATTTAAAGATGGGGGGAATAAAACTTGTTAGAGAACTACGAGTTCTGTTCTCTAACGTTTGAAGCAGTGAGTAGGCCCCCTCTTCAAAAAGGGTCCGCACAGTGACTGCGCCAATCACAGGGATATAACCCTAATCCCAATCGCGTCAAAGCCGTTGACGTCCGTCATTCTCCGCTAATTGTACACTACGCGTGAGGAGCAAGCTTAGTTTTGCGCCGGTCGTGGATGCATCGATCAAATCTTCACCCTCCGACAGCTGCTAGAGCACCGTCATGCTTATCAAAGACCAACGGTCATTGTATTCTTAGGTCCGCCCGGCCTTGGACTCTGTCGATAGGGCCGCATTATGGAACTGTTTGTTGAGGAATGAAGTCGATCCTCAAAGAGTTGTATCGTCATACCTCAGGTCGGGTTAGGGCCTATGGCCAGCTTTCGCCACTCTTCGCTTTCTCGAGTGGAGCTCGACTAGTTTGCCTTATATCCGCTTTCTTTTTCAACTCCGCCATAGAGGATGTTCTGCAGGACGCTTTGTCCGGCCTAGCAGGCGGGGGAGTCGAACTCCTCCCAGGGAACAGAGTTCTTGACTTAGAGTATGCCGATGACATCGTCTTGTTGGGTGACAATGCACAGGCAGTTCAACAAGCTTTACACCACTTGGCGATCGAGGTATCCAGGTATGGTATGTGCTTTGCACCTTCAAAGTGCAAAGTGACTGTCCAAGACTGGCAGGAGCCTGTGCTTGCACTCACCCTCTGTGGTGATCAGCTGGAAGCAGTTGAGAGCTTTAGTTACCTCGGGAGCTTGATTGCAGCTGGTGGTGGTGTTGGGGAATAGCGAATAGCGAAAGCTAGAGCAGCTTTCGCCAACCAATGACATCTGTGGCACCGCCGTGACATTCGACTAAGGGAAGGGTGTACATCGCCGCGGTTCGTACTGTTCTGCTTTACAGCTGTGAGACCTGGCCTCTCCGCACGGAGGATGCTGTTTGACGTTCCGTATTCGACCTCCGATGTCTCCGAAGCATTGCTCGTGTTTGGTGGGAACATCGGGTGAGCAATGACGAGGTCCGTCGTCGTGTGTAGAATGTGGATAGTCGCTCTCTAACAGAAATAATCGCTCTACACCGCCTCCGATGGCTGGGTCACGTATTGCGTATGCCTGCCCATCGACTACCTTTCCGTTCTGTTTTCACGTGCTAGGCAAAGCTGGAATAAGCACCGTGACGGTCAGATCATGACAGAGCGTAGAGATGTGAAGAAGCTGGCTTCAACTTTGTTTGGTGCAGCCCGTCTTTCAGGTTGGGACTTACGGGATGAGGATTGTCGCTGTTTAGAGACACTGAGGGATATGCCCCAGAAGAGAAGTCAGTGGCACGAGTGCTGTACCGTTTGCTTGTCGAAATCCCGTGCCCCATAAGAAAAAAAGACAACCGAACACACAAAAATTGCAAAAAGTGTACGGTGAAACAAAAAATTGTCATCCTATTTATGTTATTTCCCATTTTAACAGTTCCCTCTTTTTCTTACGTTCTCTATCCCAACGTCACTTCCCGTTATTGTTATCTTTATTATTGTTGTGGGGTTGGCACCATGCTTATTCGCGAGCCGGTTATATATATATATATAGATATATATATATATATATGTACCACCGGCTTGGGATCAAGCATGGTGCCAACGCCACAGTAATATGAGCAATAACGCGGTTGTGCTGGTGGTGGGGGGTTGGGATACATATATAGGGAAATAGACGTAACTGTCTGAGTAGAAGATTACGAATAAATGGAATACTAATTTTTTGTGTTTCACCGTACATTTTTTATTCACCTGTAAACGTCAGGAGTTCGAACTGCACCACTGAAAGTCGTTGGTAGTGTCCTTCGTTTTCCAACTATCTACTAGCCCTGTCCCACCTCACTTTTGTATGGTTCGCTATCCCCGCTTTTACGGATAGTTTCCATTTACGGAACGGGTATATATGTGTACATGTATATAGTTTTCACACACGTCCGAGTTCAAACTTTTTGCCAAACTATTCCCAGTACAATGATCGTAATTGCATGTAGGCGTGATTCTACTAAGTGACCCAGGTGAATTTTCTTGGGGGATTCATAACCAAAGCCTTCGATGAGCCAAGGCCTGACCCGCAAGGCTTCGGGGCGGTGTGTGAAAACTGCAATCCAATGGGTGGCCGATGTCCAGTTCGTCGGATCATACGCCCTTTAGACAGGGTCACATGTCCACGGTGCGAAATGCACCTCGATACCAAGTCGAGTAGGTGCCCACTGCCACAACCAGGAAGCTGTGGGTGAGTTTGGTTCCTACAGCTCTTCTTGGTTAGTTCGGTTTATTTAGGGTTGTTTAGCCAACTCCAGTTGGTGGTGGGAAAACAACTCCGCCACGAGAAGGCAGAATTGGCTATTTGGGACGCTTAGTCTCATGGGAGTGTGTTGCGAGATGCAAGGGAAAGATGACCAGCTACAACCCAAAACACCCACCCCCGATCATACTGAGGATTTCAGTAGACCTGCGTTACCATCCGATTCATCCCAAATTAATTTTAGGTCTGCTAAATTAATTATTTCTAATGAATCCAGTTAACTGTGGAGGTTTTACCGCAAGGAGACAATGCCACCAAATGCACGGAAGGTAAATGCAATGAACAGTGCACGATTTTGCAAGATTATAATTGTCCCATCTCGTGGTTGAGAATCCTTGAAGAAGGAAATTGGATTGTAAATACTTTGCTTTGGCACAATTGTCAGCATTTGTGTGATTCTGATTTCATGACAATGTGAAGTATGGTATATCTGGCCGAATATTTATGTGTTATGACAGACAGAATATTGAGTGACTGTTTCGTCTTCGTTCATCAATAGTTATGCGTACTACTTTTATAAAGCCACAAGGTGGTGCTCAGTGGAGGATCGTTTTTTATTAAGGATTACAGATAGGACATCATTAATTAGGCATACTTAAAACAGAAAATCTGATCAGAAACATACCATCGCATTTCTTGTCCGCATAACGGTTAATGAATGTAGCAATCGATAGTTATTCTTTGAGACCCAGCAATTTGCCTTCGATGATCTTGTTAATTTTTGGTCGTCACACTCAATCAACTATCTTACCTACTACTCACAAATTTGAGTAGTACCTCACGACACTACTACTTTGTGTCCTTTGTCGAACTAGAATCACGAGACTCGAATTCGAAGATCGAAACATTTAGCTCTGGTCTGCATGGCTGACAGCAAACAACTTTCAGGAGACACTGCGGTGAAAATGTTTGTGATAACGGAAAATTAGCACTGGGCGGTTGTTTCGTCTTGTTTGGGACTCGTCAGCAGTGCTTACTTTCTGTGTCCCTGTCAGGACTCGAACCGCGAACATTTGGGTTGGGACTTCAAATCCTTCCCCTGAGCTACACGGTCGCCGGTTATCACCTTGTGCGAATAGCTCAATCAAATTATTTTTTTGTTGCCCAAGCATAATTTGACTATATTCAAAAGATCTACTTGGGACGTTACTATCGTCATTAGCAGCTAATGCAAACCGCCCACCCATCTTCTTTTTCATTTCTCCCTCGTTGCAGGTGAGCGTCCCTATCGGTGTTCTGTCTGTGCGAAAACCTTCTCCCAACCGGCCGTATACAACGAGCACGTCAAGCGCCACACGGGTGAGCGGCCATACATTTGCGGTGTATGCACCAAGGGGTTTCCGCGTGCAGCTCGACTGGCTGTGCACATGCGAGTACACACGGGTGAACGTCCGTACGCATGCACATCTTGCGAGCGACGATTCAGCCAGCCGCATCATTTGGCTGCACATCTGTGAGTTCGCACGGTTGTCCCCGCGTTCATCCTCCCCACCCCCGTGCTTGTTTCCCCGGCAGCTCCCTTCATCAGACACGTGTGGAAACAAACGAGCTCTGCTAATCTTTGCCCGATTGATCGCTCCCGTACATGCGCACCACTGTCGTTTTTCCCCACTATTTTTGCCTACATGTCCCGTTTCCGAACCCGGTTCTCGCTTATCAATGTGTTTGGTTTTTCCCACTCCATATCGGTCACTGTCGTCTCACGGGAGCATTTTGCTCTAATCTACCTGTGCAACTGATCAGTCCGGGCGGCTTGCCGTAGTTCCCTGTTCGAAAATATCAAAGTGTGACAGCACCTCCCCAGGTTATTGGTTCGGTGTTATCGTACTATGTACGAACGCAAGCAAAGAGGTACTCAACTATCTCTTCTATTTACTTTCCTTCCTGGAACTTGTATGATTACAGTTTGTTCCTCTAGGTTGGTGTATTTTGGAACGTCCTCTTGTGAAAACCACAGAGGAATTAGTTTAATCCACGTCGCTTCTAAACTTCTCTCCGTGGATCGTCTGCCCCTCACGCGAAGAGTGCGCATGTGAGAACCAAGCTGGTTTTAAACCTGTTCGAGGCTGTATAGACCACACATCTTTACTCTTCGTCAAATTCTAAAACACAGACACTCTTTTCGTAGACCCACCATTTCCATCTTCCTCGACCTGAAAGCGACTGTCGACTCAGTCGGCCGCTCGAAACTCTGGTTCTGCCTCTAACTGGCGAATGTTACCGGGAAATTTATTTTAATATTACAATCCCTCTACAATAATAGCCCATACGGAGTTTACTGCACATTTTCACCCGAGTTCACCATGGAAAGTGATGTTCGTCAGGGTTGCCCGCCCTCTCCGTTTCTATTTAACTTTGTCATAAATTTAATTCTTGAAACAGCCCTATCCTCGTGCGAGGATAACGGTATCAATTCACTCCCCGATGCCAGAATGTTTGATCTAGAGCATTCAGACGACATTTTACTACTGAGTGAAGATCCAGGTAAGTTGCAAGCTTTCTGGATAGTTTGAGTGCTAGAGTAGCCATGTTCGGTATGCGTTTAGCACCTTCAAAGTGTAAAATGCTGCTCCAAGATTGGAATGGTTCAGCCTCCAACCTCACCCTGACTGGGGAATCAAATAAATTTTACTATTTGGGCAGCTATATCTCACATGGAGAACGCATCACAGATGAAGTGTCGAACCACATAAGGTCTCGATAGGTTAGGCGTGGTATCGAACCGGACGACAACAGAGCTGTCTACTACCAAAGTCGGATGGCGATGGCGGGGCGCAAACCTCGGACCATAGGGTCCAAAGCATGCCGGTGAAAGCGACTAAACCACTAGGCCACCACCACCTGGTGGTTGGGATATGTGCTACGCATGTCACCAAATAAATTGTCACGGTGCGTTCTGTTTCCTGAGGCAAGGTGGAAGAAGTAAAGTATGTTCAAACGAAAACCTCACATGAGGATATGAAAACCGTGACCCCGAGACTTGCTCACATAGGCAGCGTTAGGCTTCCTGGATGAGGACGCCGGAATCATCGTAACCGGTGGTGAGGAGAGACTAAGTATCTCAAACGGTGGCGCTCGTGCATCTACTCATTAGTCTTGCACCCTCGGTCCATGTGAGTTCTCGGTGCCAGCACCACTTCATGTCTCCTGCAGTTTTATCCCAATGGGAATCGAAGCGGGGCCTTTGAATTCGGCCGCGTCATTTATCTCGAAAATCATATTTACACTT